AAGGCTTGCAGGGGGAGACCTTTAAGATGCTTGTACTTCTCCAACAAACTGACAGGATAAGAGTAATCGGCCAGACCAAGACGTTTCGCAGTGAATGCTGCATTGATCTTAAAGATCTTCTGTGGTTGAGTGGCAGGAGATATGTGGAAGGTAACCGTGGTACCACTGATGGTCTGCACATCTTGGCGGATGGTCCGCAAGGCTATGTTTTCGGCTTGACCTTGTATACCGAGCTCATGGGCGGCATCAGGAAGAAGAATAGTGCGCTCGGACCCGTCATCCATGACAGCATAGGTGTCGAGTGTCTTGTCTCCATAGCGCAGCAAGACCCTGATGACCTTTAGGAGAACACGCCTGCAGTCAGTGGGTCTGTCCAAGTACAGTGTCTCAGTGGTTGAACTAACAAGGCAGGAACCTTCTCTGGGACTCTTTGTGTTGACCTCATGCAAGATTTGTAAGTGCTTCCCTTTGCAGATGCTACAAGGCTTCTTGAGTGTGCACTGGGCTGCTTGGTGTGCGCGACCGCAGCGCCAACAACGATGATTGGTCTGGATCCATTCAATCATTTTCTGCTTATCGAAGGACTTAAAGGTGGGACATTGACTGAGATAATGATCCTCGTTATCGCAGTATGGACAAAAGGCTCTAGGTGGAACTTTAGGTTTCTCCACTTTTACTTGCTTAACCTGGCCTGGTGCTGAGAGGACCTTTGTGGCAGTATCATCTGCTCCATGAAGAATGGTGGCTGAACGTACAGTGGGTTTGGTTTCTCGCCGGCATTCTGGTCTCTGGCTCTTGTAACTGATCTGTGTTTCACTGCTTTGGCACCAGGCCTCATACTGAAGCCACTCAGAAAATTCACGAAGGTTATACACAGAGCCAGGACGATGGTACATCTGTCTTCGGAATCCTGATCTCATTTCAGCCGGTAACTTACTCAACAGTCTCTCTACATGCGACCCGCATCGAAGTTCAGCTTCACCTTCATCTCCAAGAGTCTCCAACATACCAACAAGAGCCCTAATATGCAGAGAAAATTATCGAAGGCCTCATTATCTCCTCGTCGGATATCTGGTGAATCCATCACTTTGGCGATCTTCTTGAGTGCCAACTTATGTGGCTGACCAAACCTTTCATTCAGAGCAGCCATGGTGTCTGAGTAGGGAAATGGTGAATTGAGGTAGGAATCTGCCACCAAACGAGCTTCCTCTAGCTTCAGATGGTCCAACAGGATTTGGTACCGGAACAGTTCTGTGGCATCCGGTGGTAGAAGGTTCTCAAGGGCTATCTTTAACCGATTAAACTCGCTGGGGTCTTTATTGTAGAAGTTGGGTATGGTTGGCACTGGACCTCGATAAGTGGTTTCTTGCCTTGCAGGATTCACATTAGAGGAATAAGGAGCTCTATGTGCTGACTCTGGCCCAGAGGCTTGTGGGAACTGATAATGCACCTGTGGTTTGGGATAATCCAAGGTCTCTCTAGGGGACTCGTATAATATTCTTGAATGCCAGTGAGGGACAGGAGTATCCTCATAAAGACCAGGCATTGACTGAGCCATTCTCTGATAATGAGGATAATTGGATCTATGTGAATGCTGCCAGGGAGAGGAATTATGGTTAGCACGTTCACCACACAGGACTGAATCAATCTGTGGTCTAGTGGGTGCGGCAGCCAGGATCTGATCTTTCATAATCTGAAGTTCACCCATCATTGTTCCCAGAAGGTTTAGCATGCTAGGTTCACTTTGAGGCTCTACAGTCCTGTTCTTTCCTGGTTTGGGCAGGTTGGGATAGCTAGTCTTCTGGTTCAAACTGAGTAAAGGGCCACCTTTGGTAGCAGGACATGGGTGTTGTAACCCCTGAGATGTTGCTGTGGTGTAGGCCGTCTGGCAACGCTTACCATAGGTAGCTGGGAGCAAAGATGTAGTCACCATGGAGTGTGGATGGTAGGATGCCGTTCCAGGATGTGGGAGGAGTCTATCCTGTACAGGGAAAGATGTACTCGGTAACGGCGTGGACTGATGTTCTTCCCATGGCCGATGATATGGAGAAGTCTGAGGACTATTAATTGACTGCACTGGAGCGTAGGTGGCGCTAGGCTGTTGCAGCCCTATGTTATCCATTCTTTGGATAAAAGGATCCCTTTCCTCAGCTATAGGCGACCATTCATCGACTGTGTCCCATGGATCTTGACTTATGGGACTTGTTCCTCTGGTAGAAGGTGAAGAGATGTTCACTGCTGCATCTCCAAGCCACTGTGTATGCTGTGTTGTGTGAGGCGATACCAGCTGACTGCCTGCTCTACGATGTACAGTTGTAAGATCATAATCTTTGAGGTAAGCAGGAGGATGAACTAGACGTTTTGGTCTTACAATCTGTGCATGTGCTTCTTCAGGATGCATGTTGACTGATCAATTGATACTGATACTGATTCTTTGTCCATGAGAAATGCCAGATCCGGCTCGAAGGACCATTTGTTCGATAGGAGGATTGGAAAAAGTGGACTGTATAAGGTGATGGTTCAGATCTAACTTTCCTCAATGGGGTGTCGGTCAGAACACACTGGAATCAGATCAGTTCCATGCAAAGGAGGTTTATTTGTTAACAGTCTTTGGGCTGTACACAACACAGCAATACACAGGCTTTACTTATCACTGGTATTTGTGCGTACGTGTGTGTACGTGTGTGTGGTCTACAAGGGAAAATAAAGATATATATATTAACAATATGTCTTGAGTATTATTACACAAACATAATTTCCATAAACAGATACATATTTTTCAAATAAAGCAATTCTCAAGTGAAAGCTAGAGTAAGATAAAGGAATAAACACATACTCAATGATATTATTATACAACACCGCCACTTAGCGGTCAGAAATGGCATAACATTCAAAACCGAAACCAAATCTGAGGTAATTTAAACGAACGTCAGATAATCATAAAGATCACGTCCTTAAACTCAAAATATAAAGAGTTTCATACACTAATGTAAACGATCACACATACATATGCACAATCAAACACTGGGTGCCATCTCAATACTATAAATTACAAGTAATATCAAACATAAACGGCACATTTCCGAGCCCTTAACCTCACGCGATCAACGGATTCATCTCTCTTAAACATGCATCACTTAATGAGAGTAAGACATCAAGGCTTTACAGCTCCTTAGCAAGTATTGATAACCAAACTAAGTAAACAGTCAACTTACATTTATTCATTGACGCACTTCGCACACACAGTCTTGCTTGTACAGTCCCGCTCTGAACTGATGATGACTGAAAGTAAGTAGCGCATGCGCACATGAGTCGGCCTTTCTAACAAACGCATCAGCTCTTCTGGCACATTATTTATTTTCCAAAAATAACTTTAAAGAGCCGCTATCTTAGCATTTGAAATGTTCCTATTTTTGTTTTGGGAGTTCCCAAAAACAGTTTAACGTGCATGCAAGGATAAAAAACACTTTTGTCTTATAATATGCCTTTTTTTTTTAACTGATTTGCTCAGCGACTCCCAAATGATTCGTTCGATGATTCATTTTCCCAAACATCTCCTTTGAGTGACGCGAATCTGCGGCAATTGGTCAAATGACCCAGTCAGTTGTTATTGGTAAACCGTAGGCAGAGATTGTCGGAAATGGAACACCCATCTCCATTAATGGATTATAGCTTGTCAAGTGTTGTATACAGTGTATGAACAAACGTGTCAGAAAAAGTGCACTTTCCACACAGTCCCTTAAGCTTTCCCGACGAAACTCACATTGCGGTGGCTTTTGAGGGACAGTGTTTACTATATGGAGCGAAGTCATATTTGGCTAAGTCGTTAAGGAGGTAATTGCCATTTTTCATTGAATGTCTGGTGAATATCAAAAACAAAACTAACTTTACCCCGCTTAGAAGCTGCGCGGAGTGTACACAACACACACAACACAATATAACTATATTGTGCATGCTACAGAAAACATAACAGCAAACATTATTAATAATACTTACAGATTGTGATTCGGCGGAGGACAAACCTGATCCATAAATACTGGAAACTGAGCCCTCCCTCGGGACAACCGGCTTGCGAATCCACATTTGAATTCATTTATGTTTTTGAATGATTCGTCATTAAAATGATGAGAACACAAGGTTCGGGCTGTACTGTTGTAGTATCGTTGCAAATATGAACTCTAACCACTGATTCTTCACATGCTTGTCCCTGGGCAATGAAAACAAGTGGCTGAACTGTCTTTGCAATGTAGAACACAGCGTCTTCTTGACATGACGCTATTCAGCTGAAGTATTTGAATGTGTTCTTGACTTCAAGTTTACACTTCTATATGCGCGCGCAGAAACTGGGCGCGGCCAATATGCTTATGTTTCGTATCTACGTCACTACGAAACAGCTAATGACTCGTTTCAAAAACAATTCATTTCATAGACTCAGAGTCGACTCTCACTTTTGAAAGACAATAACTTTATATACGGTGCACTTTCAGGTATAAATCTTTGCAGGATGTTTTCATTCCCTTAGAGCTATATGAAGAGTCATTTTCAAAAATCCATGATAGGTGCTCTTTAAATACTCTGTCATTATTGGTCAGATAAGAGTAAGACATCATTTGAAACTGTAAAGTGTCTATTTTTATGTGTGCATGTTCAAAAAGATTTTAATCACACCCTGCAACCAGGGTTGATTTGAGGAATATCAAATCAGTTCTGTTGTGCAAACAATGTTTTTTAACAAGCTTAAAAAGCTTATCTTATGACATTAGGCTTTTTGTTTCCTATTTGGAACCTTTTTAAAAAGAAATAAAATATCTAAAACTCTTCTTTTAATATGAATTCGTATTTTAAAATTTCAATATAAAGGTATAGTTATAAGTGTAGATGATTGTGAGGGTTATGCATGTTTGTGTGTGATAGAATGACAGAATGCACAACTGCTGCAGGTGTGTTTGCCTCCATGTTCCTGCTTACTGGGATCAGAGACGCAGTGGTTTGACACTTACTTCAGGAAACATGAGCTCAGTTTCGTCCTGTCCCGAGGTCTGTTTGCCCAGCAGTTGGAAAGCATTCACCCCTCCTCCACCCCCTCTTGAGACAGGCATCTGTGAAGAGAGCAGACATTACAAACAGACAACATTTAAATCATAACTCAGATTTCACTTTTAGAGGTATTTTTCAGTTTCATTGATCATCCTTTTAATTTTGCATTATTGAGGATGAACATAATGACCACAATGCCTGGTTGACATGATTACTACTCTCTCTGAGACAGATCTCTACCAATTTCCCACTTTGCAAGATGGCCAGATACATGAGCCATACATGCAAGCAATCCTTGGAGTAGGGTTATATGTTCCTAATTATATGCTACTTCTCAAGAAGATCCTAGGACACAGCCACCCGATAACACTGCACACCCGGGTGAGGACACACTTTGTCTGCTGGGTGCAAACTGGCCCTGCAGAGTAAAACAGTGCAGGAAAGCGTTTCCTCAAAGCACTAAATAGCAGCTAAAAGACCTTTAACAAGCCTGTACACTAGACACCGACAGGGAGAATGAGAGTAAAATTAATTTGTGTAGGAAAGAGGGAGATTGTGTCGATGAATGATTTTAGCTATACGAAGAGTCCACACACATTGGATTCAATGGGGGGAATGGGTGTGTAAGTGGACAAATATAGTGGGAACAATTTGTTCCGTGTATTTCTCCTTTCAACTCCAAGTGATGATGGAGCAATGTTCCTCAGACAAATTTGACTGTCCATCCTGAAAATAAAAAAGTGTGAAATTCAACATAGCAGATAGATGTTGTGACTCAGTATCTCTCATAGAAACCAAACAATCTAAGGTAAATATAAAAAGAAATAGACTCAAATGTATAATTTATAGATCTCAAAGCTGTGATTATTGTGGTTGTGAAGTTGTACAGAACTAAGTAACCAGCCTGCCACATAGAACACAAGGGGAAAATCCAATTGCTCAGAGGTTGCTATTTCACAGCTCACGAGATGTTACAAATTTCTCAGTTTAAATGCTTTAGGGCAAATAAGAATAGAAACAAACAAGACCATTATTGGCGATAAAATCAGTGTGGATTAGCATAGCACAAATAATTAGGTCTTGGAAGAACATGACGAGAAATGTGTGATTTAATATTTAAATGTAAACTCTCAATAACAGACTTTGGTATCTTGCCAAACAGAGAATGTGATTTCACCAAACAAGTTCCTAGAACAAAATCTTTGTTGATAATTAAATAACATTCAAATGAACTAATCACATTTAAGGGACAAATTTACAGTTTACACATAACAGGGTTATGTGCTTCTACATCAGAGTTATTCACCTATCATTTCCCTCTGGTTTAGGGATATGTTATGGTTAGGTTCATGTAGGAATTGGGTTAGAACTACAAATGTTTTTGCAGGATGTTGATTCAGGAACATGTCTTACTTGGCAAAATCACGGTAACCCTTTGGAGAGCTGAACATGGTTTTGGGATGTTGATTAAATATATTCTGAAAATCTACAGGAGATACATACGAGGTAATGAGCAATGGTCATTTCTTTGAAAAATCTAACATTTTTAGACTCATTGCTCTGTAGGGGAAATCGGAGATATCTATAGAGAAAGACATTTTCTTTCTTTAAAAGGTTGTTTAAGGTCCAGGAGATCTTTTTTCAAACAGTTTAACTCAGCATGATGTGACATCCCAGACCAAACTGGTCAGTCTCTTTTGTGTGTGAAAAGAATTAGACATTCTCCCCTGGGTGATGTTTGTTCATGATGTGCTGACTGAAGAAGATCCTCCTCCACTACTGAGGGTCATCTCACTGCTATGTGAACAATCAATTCTCTTTTCCCATAGAGTTGAGGTTAAAATGGCTTCCAGCAGAATGTGAGTTTGTGTAAGGCCAGCAGTGCAAACAGCATCGGGAGAGAAGAGAGTCGCAGGCCTTTTCAATCCCAGCAATATTTGAAATAGTCTAAATAGAGGCTAATTTCAACGTTTCATAAAATGAACTGTAACCGTTTTTGTAAAAATGAGTAGCTAAGAAATGCAAAGCAAAGAAAGCAGGCAGAAAGGCATTTATTGAAACTTACATGTTCCTGTTGTGCTGTGGAGTCATCAGGTGTGATCTGAAGTTTCGGTAGAGATACAGACTTCTGTTTTAGCAGGTCCTTCAGAGTCACATCTGGGCTGGAATTACTGCTGTTCTCTGCTAGTATGAAATGTCAATGAAGTTTAAAATTGAATTATAGCAAAAGAGTTGGTATTAGAGTTGGTAATTTACTTTTTCAGTAGTTTTTCCTATGTACACTACCAGTAACAAGTTTTGGATCAGTAAGATTTTAATGTTTTTAAAAGATGTCTCTTCTGCTCATAAAGGCATTTATTTGATAAAAAAAAAACTTTTCTATTTAAATATATTTTTAAATGTAATTTATGCCTGTGATCAAAGCTGAATTTTCAGCATCATTACTCCAGTTTTCAGTGTTACATGATTGCACTGTTGAGCAATTTGTTTTCAGGATTCTATGATGAATAGAAAGTTCAAGCATTTACTTGATAAGTAAATTTACATTTACATTAACATTATAAATGTCTTCATTGTAACTTTTGATAAATGTTATTCATCCTTGATGAATTAAAGTATTGATTTCTTTTATTTCTTTCCCCCCAAAAATAAAATAAATATTCAAAAAAAAAAAAAAAATTATCATAAAATGTATTTTTTGATTATTAAAAATACAAAAAAGGGTTTATTGGGGTTCTATATATGAAGGTCCTTTACTCAACTCCAAAGAACTTTTTATGCTAAAAAAAAAGTTCTATAATGACAAGAAAGAACTCTTTTAGCACAAAGGTTCTTTATAGGCTATTATTCCTCCATATATTACGTTATTCTGCAACATTTTATAGTTGTAATTACATTTTTGTTTATTAAACTGTATAACTTAATATCACATTTTAATCATGCTGATTTTGGAGGAGGAAAACTGAAATGGCACTCTTCGTGTGATATTGATTAACTTCATAAAATGATATAAATATAAACATTTTCTAACCCCCATATCTTAAATTTTGTGATCATTCACATGTATTCATAAATACATTTTAGGGTCTTGATGTTTGTTAATAATATGAAATATTTAATCTGGAAAGGACAAAACAAATGATAATGAATGAACCCAAAAGGTTCCATACAGAACCCTTTTCCTGGTTACAAAGAGGGTTCTTATTATTGAACCCTTAAAAAGGGTTCTGTATAGAACCTTTTAGGGGTTCCAAATACGTAGCGCTGATAGAACCTTTTAAGGTTCTTCTAAGAGTGTGTGACACTTACTAGAATAATGATGCTGAAAATTCAGCTTTGTTCGCAGGAATAAATTACACTTTACTATATATTCACATAGAAAACAGTTGTTTTAAATTGTAATAACATTTCACAATATTACAATTTTTTGTTCTTATTGTATAAAATAAATGCAGCCTTGGTGAGCAGAAGGGACTTCTTTTAAAAACATATATATATATAACATTGTTGAGAGATAATGTACAACAATTTACTCTACTGTTAAAGTATATGTGTTACCCATCGCAAGGTATTAGGTACCTTGTTTAGAAAAAAACATTGTAATACCATTGCCAATGGCCTGTAGTTGCTTTTCTATTTGACTTGTGCTTCTGTGTTGTTCCACCCAGACCTTGAACACCTCATGCTCCCTGCGGCTCTGAAGATACCCGAGTCGGGTCAGCTGTTTCTGCAGTTCCAGAACCTCATGAAGACCAGATTAGAGATTACATTAGATGAGTAGTCATGCACGTTCATTCTATGGAGAGAGAATGCAGAGTAAAGCCGGTCTCACCAGGTAGTGGTATGTTTTAGGTAAACACCTCAAGTATGCATCCTTGTGTGTGAGGGTTGATCTGGTGACCCTCTGAATGGTGACAAACGTCTGTGACAGAAAGAGTAAACTGAGGATGGAAAGAGAATAAACTTTGAAAACGGAATCTCCAACTTGATCGCAGACGCTGATAACAAATCTGGGAACGCCTAGCATTTTTGAAATGCTCTTTTGAAACAGGAGGTCTTTTTCTCAGGAGTACAATTTGACATTTAAGCTCAATTTGCTCTCCAGAGTCAAAGAGAAACAATTGAGATTTCATTTGAGATTTTCTTGACATTTCTTATGTGTTGGCATTGTCATTCCGAGGTTCCTGAGAGGACCCCTGTCTGGGAGCCCCCAGCATACAAAACCAATGAGAAGTAAACATGCAACCACAGGAAGCCATTAACTGCAACAGGGACCAATTAGGCCCCAGCAGGTGTCCACGGCTCGGCCTGCATCATCATGAAGTCTGGACAAAGTTTTTCGGCCTGAGCTGAGGAAACAACAGGGCAGTTTCATTTGCTCAGCAATTTGTACCAAAGGTTTCCTACTGGCAGCCCATAAAGTCTTTTATAGCTCTCCCTTTGTCCTCCCCTCCAGTGCTGGTCATTAGAGGACACAATTACAGCCCACTGAAGAAGGCTTGCTTTTATAGGAGGAGATTGATAAGCCAAAGACCCCTCCTCCACATCCTTACCCCCCAGTTTCTACCTCTTATTGTCCTCAACCCAGACGGCCAAAATCAAAGTCAATCACAAGTCCACACCAACTACTTCCCCCATATTACAATGATGGGCTTCCTCAATCCTCTGGACTTCATAACACTTCAAAGTGGCACTGTGAGACACGCATCTACTCTTCTACAATGGGTTGCACTACAGCACAACATAAAATGGACATCTAAACATTGCTCATGCTCTTTACATGTTTTAGCCTACATTTTTTAGACGAATGTGTGTGTGTGTGTGTGGTTATACAGTAGTGCTCTAATATAGACCATTTCACAAGATGTAAACAACATTGGTCCAGAAGCACTTCCTGTTTCAGTTTGTAACTGTTTTCTTTATTTCACATGTAAAGAAAACATCTTAAAGATGTTTGTTTAACTTTTTGATTCAGTTTTAAATGTTCTGTTGGTTGTATTTTATCCCAGCTTTTATGTAGTGTTAAAAAACTGAAACAGGAAGTGCTTCTGGACCAGTGTTGTTTACATCTTGTGAAATGGTCTATAGTTCAGGGAAATATCTTTGGCTCTAAAAATATTCCAATTAAGACATTTGTTGACATTCACTAGGAGTATACCCAGACAGCAAACTGACATTGAATCAACGTGGAAACGACGTCTCTCATGACATTGAAACAACGTTGATTTGCTCATCGAATTAACGTTGAACCAACGTCAGACGCGGCATTCTTCAAAGCTAAATGAAATCGAAAATTGGTTTGCTTTCATAACGTTGAAACAACGCGTTGATTTCAAGTTGATTTTCCGTTAGTTTTGAAAGAATGACGCATCTGACGTTGGTTCAACGTTAATTCGATGAGCAAAACAATGTCAGATCAACGTTGTTTCGATGTCATATTTCCACGTTGATTCAATGTCAGTTTGCTATCTGGGTAGACTCATATGTGGACCGTATAACTGACATTTATTTGGTCTTGGGAGAATTTGATAAACCATTTTGAGGCTAAGATCTCTAATTTGCAGACTTTTGTGTCTTGGCAAAGAAGCACAATCTGGGACATTGATATTTCGGTAAAGCTTCCTTTTATAGTCCTGTTACCATGTACATACTATGTGTGTATTATAGTAATTACAATTACTGGGTAATAACTAGGTACTAACCCTGAACTGACCCTAAACCTACCCCTAACCAATGTACTTACCTTATATTAGCCAGTACTTTCTATGCAAGTACACTGTAAGTATGTGTACTGTAAAAGTAAGCATTACCGATATTTCTACTGAACTCTACAAGAGACTTGTGAGATTAGTAGGGTGCAAAAGGCTCAATTTGATCTCAATTTAATCGCTGTCTAGGAAAACTAATTTTCTCTCAGTAGTTTTTTTCTTTTCTTTGGGAGTTTAGCAAGGTTAGGGTGGCAACTTTTCAGTAAGGAAATTTATACCGTTTGACTGACCATACAGTTGCTGGCAAGGTTTCAATGGAGCACTGTCTTTAATATTTCAGCACAGACACTCTCTTGCTCTGGTGGAGAGACAGGAAGTGGGTAACTTTATTTTAAATGTTAATGGCTGATGTAGATGATGTGCTTGTTACTCAAACGTATGGAGATGTGTGTACATGTCAGGTGGGTGTGATTGGCTTTGGCCTGAATTTCTGCAAGCTCATTTCAGATGGTAGAGGAAGTTTGAGACAGACATGTGAGTTTGGTTTACAACAACACTAGTAACAACATTCACAATGATAAACCCTGTGCAAAGAATGAAGAGCGCTTCGATTATAGGATACTACACCTACTTCCCCTTGCAGTGTAAAAAAACTAAATCCCCCAATGTGCTCCCTTAAATATAAAGAGATACAATGGAAAAGAAAACACATGAAACCAATGCTATCCAAGTCTTCTTTTCTCAGCACTGCCTTCTACTGGCGACATTTAGTAACTGCTACTCTTGCTTTGTGCTCTCTATAATGAAAAACAATTTAGTAATAATTAGTCATTGATTCCAGGAGGGTGTACCTTATCTTTATGCACTTTCCCGAGTCTGGAATTATCTGAATCAAGGGGCTTCATCTCTTGCCTTTGTCTTTGAACTTTTTCCCTCAGTAATGTAGCATACTGACATGAAAGCATGTCTCTCAAGTGGTGCATTTTGTAGTATGTCTCTAGATGGCGCTAGAATGTAAGAAAAAGAGAACGAAAGCATCAGCGTGTGACAGAACATAAGAGAACAATTCATTTATGAAACCGTTGTCATCTCTTTTATCCAAACAGAATGTTGATTCATATATTCATGGAAAAAAATACGATAATATAAATAATTAGATCATATAGTTGCATTGTTTAATGTTTATATGTGCTAATTTTAAAAGCACATTGATGGCAACCACAGTTACCAGTGTGAGTAATTAAACTGTAAAAGATAATCAAATAAATTCTTCTTTTTTCAAGGGCAGCGGTGAAGTGTATATTGATACTAAATAAAGCAAGAAAAATAACTAGCACTCTGTGGTCTTTTTCCACACAGGTGAGGTTTCTATATGGACTTCACTTGCGTTTATGGTAATCCGCAGGAACAGCTGACAGTGTTTGCACCTGGGCCTTTGTTGGCATGCAGCTAGTCTTTCAATCCAGGCATTCGGATAAGCCTAATTGGGTGTATTATGTGCAGCTGTAATTTAATGCCAATTTAAGCAGGCTACCTTAAATATTCTGGGCTTTGAGAGTGATTTGACATGATATTTACTCTATGGTTCCATAAAGCACATTCTGATTGTCATTTGATTAGGAACAGAATAGGCATACTGAAAGTACCTGATCTAGAAGAGCTTTTCGTTTTCTTTGAAGGACTTGATCAGAATCCACAGCATAGGCAGAAGTCATTGCCAACAACCCTGTTCTGGGGTTTTGCTGTCTCCTCTTCTGATGGTCAGTTATGGCGGCCTTTTGGAGAGAGAAATCACACTTGGTTGACAAGACACAACAACAGCTGTGCTCCTGTCTTCTCTCGTCACAGAGATCACAACACACCAGTGAGTAATTGCATGGGTTTTTCTGAATTGGCCAGTAATCAGTATCAAATGGCTAAGAAACTAAGCTTGTACGATTGAAAAAAGACTGCAAATTACAGTAATAAGACACAAGATGCTATTTGTAACCGTGATTTTTCCATGGCTAAAGAATGTGGGTTTAAAATAATTTCACTATTTTGGTTTCACTGGAAGTTGCCATTTTTGTACTGCACTGAAACTTCTAAATTTAAAATTGTATGATTTAGAGAGCAAATGGTGATTTATTTAAAAATATTTCAGGTGTTTGTCTTAAAAATCAAAATACAACATTTTTTGGTGGGTCGATACTGTAACAGGAGTATTTATTAGAGTCTTTGATGTCAGTCTTATTATTATTTTGTAATATCCCTTTAACCAAATCCAGGTCCTTAATGATATCATACTCCAAAAAGTGACATCATTTTTGGAAGCAAACGACAAAACATTTGTAGGTATCAGCAATAAATTTGATTAACCCTGTCATATTTAGAGTATAAGAAAAGACCACAGAAACATGTTGACATATACTACATTATAAATACTACCTCAGAAACATTGCTAAGCTATATGGACCATGTTATCAGTTTGTAGAAAAACGTCTCGGTTACGTATGTAACCCTTGTTCCCTGAGCAGGAAATGGAGGCATTCCGTCGGATGACGATGAATGGGGTTTCGGTAAGAAAGCCTATCGATTTACTACAAAGTAAGTACTATCGAGTACTACAAAACGAGCCAATGGCAAAGAAATGCCATGGGTCTGCGGATTTTGCATATCGTATCTCCGCCTTACCTCTTGGGTATACCTCGTCTCTGTTCTCTACTCAGGGAAAGAGGGTTACATACTTACCCGAGACGTTCCCTTTCGTTGTCACTCCGAGTTCTGTCGGATGGCGACAAATGGGGTTACCAGTCTAATCACGCCACCTTAACAGCTGTCTTACAGTGGACTGCGTAAATCCTTGTGAGATTAGCACGAACAAGAGCATATGGAGAAGTGTCCAGCTGCAGGTGGAATATTTCAACTCCAGGGGTGGCGTGGCAAGGTGGCTTGCCAAGAGAAAGACACATTCTCAAGAGGCTTACAGTGGAAATGCACAACAGGGGGTCTCTCAGGGGAGGGACCATGCACAGGGGAGGCACCTAGCCAATGCGCAGGCAATAGACACTGGCGTCGGCGTCACCAGTGCTGGAGGAACTCAGGGCTTATGATGCTCACCTGAGGAGAATATCGCACGTATCCAGTCCTTGGAGTGGAATGGCGAGTAAGCGAAGACACCCGAGTGGGTCCTAGTACCGGCTGGTTGAAGCGAGTACATGGGCGGACACAGGCTCCACTCGAAGATTGCAGAATCTGGCAAATGTGTAGGGTGTCACCCAGCCTGCACCTCTGCAGATGTCTGTAGCGAGGCGCCAATGGCGCGCACTGTCATCTGCGCCCTCTGGGGGCTCAGAGATGGGATGCAGCTCTTTGGAGAAAAGATTCTCCCCCAGCCCTCCACCAGGGGAAGGAGTGGCCCTTCAACTACTCCCTGAAATAACTGCAACCCACATCTAAGCTGCCCGTAACGGGAGTGCTGCATTGCCTGGCTTTCAGCTGGGCTGTGGGCTGTTTCAGCTTCCTGTGACCACCTCCATGGTACGGCCCGGTGCTGCTGCGGGAGGGGGCAGAAGTCACAGGAGGGCGCATTCGAAGGCAAGCAGACTGAGGCGCCTGAGCTGGCGGCTGGTTAGCAGCAGATGGCCGCAGGGTCAGACAAGTTTGATAGCCCCAGTCCACTTCTGGGCGGCCGAGAGCTGTAGGGCAGAGTCCTCGACCGCGTCGCCGAAGAGGCCACCCTGAGATATGGAGGAGTTGTGGAAACGGGTTCACTCAGCCTCAAGCAACTCAACCACGTTAAGCCAGAGATGTCTGACCACGCATGTGGTCATCACCTGACTCAGGGAGCATGCGTCACTCGTAGAGCAAGTTCGGTGACGGCAGGCAGATCTTGGATGAGCTGTCATTGAGGACCCAGAAGGATGGCAATAACATGCAGTGAGGTGGCAGCCTGCCCCGCAGCTCTGTAGATCCCTGCCACCGGAGTAGACAAGAACCTACAGGCATTGGAGGGGTGCTTAAGGTCGCCACACCAGGTGGAGGCACTGTGGGGACACATAAGTGTTGCCACAGAACACTCCACGGGGGAGGACCCCAGTGTACCCTTGGCCGCGGCCTCTGCGCAAAGGTGGAAGAGGCCACTGAGCAGTCGCGAAAAGTCAAAGGAGACTCCCAACATTCTCATGACCTCTTCATGCACGTCCGGGTAGGAAAGATTTGGGTTCGCCACCCCCTAAAACCAATCATCAGCCTTAAGTGCTCGGGACATGGCAGAAGGTTCCACACAAGCCCCATACTCGTGGTGGCCCGGGAAAGAGCTGTGAACTCTGGATCAAACTCGTTATGCTAGCACATCTGAGGATGGAAGCACAGACGAGCCCTCATCCCTGACTCCAGCTCACCATGTGATACGGTGATATACTGTACATGATTTCATCAGCAGGGGGACCGAATGAGACCGTAAGCTCCGAAGCGAAAACATATCTGCATATTGCCGGCGTCCTCCTTTTATACCCACGAGGTAAGGCGGAGATATGCTATGCAAAATCCGCAGACCCATGCCATTTCGTTTTGTAATATTCAAAGTCGATAGGCTTTCTAAGTGAAACCCCATTTGTCATCATCCAACGGAACTCGGAGAGACAACGAAAGGGAACTATAGTTCATGCATTTATAACCTCTAGATTACTGTAACGCATTACTATCTGGTTGTCATGCATCCTCAATAAACAAGCTAATATTAGTCAAATGCAGCAGAGTTCTTACCAGGTCAAGAAAATATGATCATACCAATTTCAACATCTATTAAGTTTGTGTCAATTACAAAGTATTGCTACTGACCTATAATCTCAATCTTAATCGCAATTTCTTTATACAGCACATTTAAAAACAACCACAGTTGACCAATGTAATGTACAATGTTATAAAGCCAAAAACAATGAATACAAATTAAAAACAACAAGGAACATCACAAGTAATAGGCAACAGAGAAGATATATAAAAGTAATGTTGCTGCAGTTCTAATATGAATCGGTAAACTGTTCCAAAGTTTAGGTGTGGCTATGGAAAAGCTTTTGTCACCCCTAGATCTTAACTTTGACTTTGGAACAGTGCTTTGTTTGGCATACCTAAGAACGAATGATGTATACACAACAAGTCTGAAAGGTAAGAGGGGGCGAGGCCATTTAAACATTTAAAAACAAGCAGAACAAGCAGGACAAGCCTTTAGTCCAGCATACACAAGCATTCTCACAAGAATTTAGTCCAGCATACAGCCTTGGATATGGCAAGAGTAATAAATGAAAGCTTTAGCTATTAATTTTGCCGGGAAGACTCAATTGTTACGTCACTTATTACCTTATCATCTATCCAATCGTGGTATAAAAGAGGTACTTTCGCAGTTTGCAGATGCTGACGCTTACATTCACCTCCATCCTCCCCACCACCATGATGGTACTTTCCCCTCCATCCTCCCCCACCACCGCCACCAGGATGATCCCTTCCCATACCTCCCAGGGGGTCGGCTGCGCCCCTGCCTCAATAGCACCTCATTGCAGTACACGAGATCCAGGGGGCGGAGTTGGATCCAGATCTAAGGGGTGGAGATGGGTATGATTAGGGGTGGAGTTAGGGATCAGGGGGTGGAGATGGGTAGGATTAGGGGTGGGGTTAGGGATCAGGGGGTGGAGATGGGTTTGATTAGGGGTGGAGTTAGGGATCAGGGGGCGGAGATGGGTAGGATTAGGGGTGGAGTTAGGGATCAGGGGCGGATATGTGTAGGATTAGGGGTGGGGTTAGGGATCAGGGGGTGGAGATGGGTAGGATTAGGGGTGGGGTTAGGGATTAGGGGTTGGAGATGTGTAGGATTAGGGGTGGGGTTAGGGATCAGGGGGTGGAGATGGGTAGGATTAGGGGTGGGGTTAGGGATCAGGGCGTGGAGATGGGTAGGATTGGGGTGAGGTTTGGGATCAGGGAACGTTGGATTAGTTATGTAAAGTGGGAGGAGTTGGATCTGGATCCAACTACTCCCCCTGGATTTTGTGTTCTGCAGTGAGGACCTTCGTCTTCAGGCAGGAATTGCAGTGTCCGGACCATATAGTAAAGGTCCGGTGTTCTGTCGATTTTTGCTGCCTTGTAGAAAAATGCTACCGTAGCGCGAATTGATCACAGAATGCCGATTAAAGTCGTATGAAATACAATTCTAATACAATTCTAAGTTATGAGTAGCTACTGTATACTGTAGACTACTGTTTTTATTTTTAAAACGGTGTGAAAAGTAAAAATTATCATAAAATATTCATCTTTGACTTGTCAAAGTACACCTTTTCTTATAGTAACTGAAACTTTCAGTTATTCCTTTTCAGTACAAATATTCATATGGTAGTAAGCATTTTTTAAAGGGAAATTATACATTATAACAGGAAAATGTACCTTTTGTAAAAAAAACAAAAACAAAAAAAAAAAAACTGTGAGTCTGCACATGCGCATAACCGGTAAGTAGGAAATCTCGATGGGTAGCATGAATTGTCAGAACACCGGACCCTCGGATTGTGAGCAATGGACGGGGCCTATGAGAACTTTATATTATAATATTCCTTGCTGGCCTGTTAATGAATGGTTAATTGTTACAGTATTATTCTCCCGAGTCTTTCTGGTGCGATGAACATGCAATTCGATAAATGAGTCGGAATAAGTTGATTCAGTAAAGGGCTGATTAGAAGCAGGGGTGTTGCTAAGGGTGGGCTAACGGGGCTTAAGCCCTGAATGTTCTAGAAAAGCCCCTATTGTTGTTACT